GTGAAAAGATAATTATGGGTAAATGGAGCATTTTTGATACCAAAGATAGCCTTAGAATGAGAAAGAATAAAAAGATATCCTATATTTAGTTTCTTCAAATGAATATTCCATTCTATAATGTAAAATGATGGGAAATTATAGTTTTAAAGTGACTTTGAAAATGTCCTTGATTATAAATTCTGATTTCATTTAAAATTCCAATGTCAAACAAAGCTCTTGATATCTTTAAATGTTAATATATAAAAGCCTAATTCTATTTTTTATTTGTCAATGTTAGATTACAGAAAATATACTAAACTTCAACAATGAGAAAGCATCAAAACTTTCATCACAAAACTTAAACTTTGGTAAAAATATTTTAAAGATACTACAATTTTGTGTTAAGGTCTGTGTTGTTTATGGGCTTTTCTTTTATTTTTTTCTCATGAGATTTCTAAAATGTTTATTGCTGCTGCCATAAAGATAGGTATGTTAGGCTTAATTCCTAAATGGAGAATGTTGTTTTCTTTCTGATGTATGAGCCTCCAGATATGCTGTCCATATTGAGTGGGATTTAGAGCTGTCAAAGCACATCTGCAAAAATGAATTTGTTCTGATGTTCAATATCATGTTAATGGTGGTCCTAAAGAATTCATAAATACATGAAAAATTGTTTTGTGATACAAACTGTAGATTCTATTCTATTGTTTAATAATTTTTAGAAGATTACATAGAAGATAATGCTAAGAATCCAGAAATGGACAGGGATTTTGCTGTTTTCTGTGTTTTGGGGAAAAGTTATCATCATAGCTAAAATGCTGTCGATTTAGGGAGCAGGGGAATTATCATTATGTCTAAAGTTTGTTGATACATTTTACAAGCCATTTAGTACAAAACAGATAATCCTTTAGAATAAACTCTGTCACTTATGAATAGTGATAGAATAAACTCTATCACTTATGACTGCTCCAATTATTTTACATAAATATATTTAGGTTTTTAAAAAACTGGAAAAAGTGTAACTTACATGAGATAGGTTTTTTAATAGAACATTGTCTTAATTGTATTTAAGTTAATTATGCACAAAACACTACAAAATTATGTAATTTCTGAGAAAAAAAAAGAAAAAAAAAAGGAGTCCTAAGCTGCTGGTACCTTCCTCAATAGGTACAGATGGCATCAGTACTGATGGCAGGCACAGATGCACTTGTGGAAGCATAAGAGCTTGATGCCTAAAGACAGTGAAACCAGTGTCTGCAAGTCCTCACTTACACTTTAGATAGGCTGCTTTGAATGAGGCTTGTCAGTAATTCTTGCACCCTTCAAATAAAGCCTTGACTCAGTTTAGGATGACAGTATCCTTTGGCATGGGCACATATTCCAGTAGGCCTGCAGCTAATGTGCAAATCTTGTTTCCCATTTGTTTTTCAACCACTCAAGCTTGCAGCCAAACAATGGAATGATTTTCAAATGTTTGCTGACCAGGAATATAAAGGTCAAGTAATGTTTAAAGAGACGATAAGCAACTACGTTTTTAAAGTTAATTTGAATATGATTTATTAACTGTTTAAAAAGTTCATGACTGGAAAATACTTTAAAAAACATTTAGACAATGATATGAAATAAATATTCTTGTGAACATATGTCAGTGATAATCTTATGTATGAAAAAAATTTGTCTTGCTTTTTCTGTACCATTTACAGACTATCTTTATTAGCACAAAAAGTAATATTTATTTCACTGACCTTTTTAATTCATTGCATTCAGGTTTGTACATTTTTTTTTTCTACAGTAACTGTAATGTTGCAATTAAAGAAGTCAGCAGTTCCAGTGGAAACACTGGTGAACTCATTAAGTGCACTGTCAGGTGTTGCCAACCCCAGATGTCAGCCAACTGGATAGTGAGATATAAATAACTCTTTACAGGAGAATTGCAGTCTAACAAATTACCCATCTCAGACAAAGCTAAACTGGTGTCTTGTGATTTGGTTTGCTACTCACTAGCTGCTAATGTGTGGGACAAATGAGAGGAGCATGTGTCCCTTCTTAGAAAATATAAATCAGATTAATGACTGCCTGACTCCTAAAAGCCTATTCAACAGGTGTCCAGGCAGAATAGAATTTAAGTACAATAATGCATTACAATAATATCTATTTATTTTATTTTCCATTATTCCTTTCTGTAATGAAGCTATTTGCAAAAAAAAAAGGGGGGGGATTTATTGACTACTAAATTTCTGTATCCTCTGAAATTCCTATATTATTTCCTGTGGATTTTAAGGAGTGTCTAAGTGAGAAGTATATACAGAACAATAGGAAAAAGTTCACATGCAGCAACAGCAGCAAAGTGGGGGAGGAGAAGAGGTGAGAAAGAGAGAAATTTTTACTCCCCTTCTTCTCATGAGTTAGTGTTTTAGAACTTAAAATTATTGGAAATTCTGCTGTCAGGTACAGGTGTAACAAATTTCATTTGAAAGAACACTTTGAAAAACTTTTATGAGTTTTAATACTCTTGTGTGGTGCATACCTTTCATTTACAACAAACCTTCTATTTCTTCTGAATTCTTTTGAAGGTTAGAATGTGTCTCCTATATTTTTATTTTTGTAGTTTTACAACTGAAGTCTAAATCTTACCTTGACTGACACGAGGTCTATCTTAGATGTAATGCAAGAATACTGAGTTTCAGAAGGGGAATATGTTTTAGATGTACTGTGTGACAGATGAATGTGGATGTTCTTGGCAAGCATGATCTTGTAACTGAGAAAAGCATGAATGGTAGTCTGGAATTTTCAACTTCGTAAAACGATGAAAGAGTTTATGTTACAAGTACCCAGATGATTCATTCATTTATGAAAAATCTGGCATAGTGTTCTACAGTTAAATATTCATATAAATTGGAAGTCTGTCTTACCTTCTTGCCTTAGAAGTATGTCTTCTATTGTAGAAACCATTCATGTGCACTTGGAGAACTGTGATCACACTGAATTACAAGTGTTGGTAAATTATTTTTCCACACTGTTTCTTAAGTTCTGTGGTCTTAGTCTCATTTCCAAACAGAATAGAAGAGTTGCAGATCTTCTTTAAAGAGTGTAAATCACTGAGACATGCAATGTCTTTGAGATAAGAAATTCTCAAGTGAATTAAGTCTGAAATGGATGTTGGTGTGGGCTTTGGCTCAGCCTAACTCAAGAAGCATCAGTATAAATGTACTCGTGGCTGGAGCAAGCAGCTTGGGGGCACTGACTGAGAGATGAGCCTCAAAAGCAAAAAAAAAGGCCAAGTAGATCCAGTTTAAATATTTTTATATAATGAGAAATAAGAAGTATAAAAGGAATAGTCTTTAAAAAAACCCATAGTATCAGCAGAAATGTTGAAATTGCTTTTAAGAGTGTTATATTCTCTTTGCATAAATTGTGATTAATAAAAAATACTACTATCCCTCCTATTGACATACCTGACGTAGATCTTATCTAGTAGTTTTAGTGTTTGACTGAATTGTCACTCCAAGAATTCATTTAAGATGGTTTGGTTTGGAAGGTGTTTAAATATGTTCTCTGTAGTTTTTGTAGTGTTTCTTGTTCAAGTGACACCATAGGCTGTTTTTCTATTTGTCTCATTAGCGTTGTTATAATTACAATTATACCTGAAGGTTAAGAATGGAATTTACACCTAATGTAAATGGGGAAAATGGTAATACTGGTTGAAGAACGTAATTTTGATTGTCATTGTTGTAGAACACTTGTAATGTACTTGCATAGAGCTGGTGAAAAGTTACCACCAGTGGGATGGGACAAAACTCAAAAATTTAGGGAATTTTGATCTTTAAATTACATCTAGGATCACATAAGTATTCTTTAAAGAAACCACTTCAATTTTCCATTTACTCATTATAAGGAAATTGAAGGTCTTTGTTATGTGAGAATTAGGAACAATCAATATTAGCATTATTGTCTGATCCTCAAAATGTTCCACGTCTTTTGCAGTCTCCCTATCGTAGAATTGACAACATACTTGCCTTTATTACATATTGTCATGAACTAGTAAAGGAAAGTAAAAATATATGCATTTTCACACTTCAACATCAAGGTTAGTTTAACTTCAGACTGGCATTTAATCTCTGTTGTCTTGGCTTGTATAAGCTTCCTAAATGTTTTAAAAATATGCTGAAAGTTCTTGCATTTTTCTTAACCTTTCTTCTGAGAGCATTCCTCTTTAATGGCAGTTGCCCTGATCGGGAAAGCTGTGGAGCTCTAAATCCTTGTATCTATCCCTTGCTGCATCATCTTTTGTATGAGTGATGTTCTGATCATAAATACTGTTTGCTTCTTTCGTCCAAATTAGTTCATTTTTCATTATGTTTCAGTCAACCATCCATCTTGATCTTTATGAATGACAGAAACAGTGCTTGTACAGTGCAGAAATAACAACTTTTAAACAAGCTAATCCAAAATAAATGCTATCAATGTGGTGTTAACATGACAAAAAGGTTTTCATCTTGGAATTTCAGTTGCAGTAATTTCTTGGAAATAAGTAAAGATTTCAAAGCAACTGCTTTGGTTCAAAGTATGGTTTGGGTCAATGTTTTTCAGTAAATCTCATCCTAGATGTTAGCAGGGAAAATTTTCACATCTTAGATTTGAACTGTGTGTTTTCTTTAAGGATTAAACTGTGTAGTGAATGGTTAATTGAATGTAGAGTTTCAGATTTAGTACATTATTTAAGCACTATCATAACCTTTGAAACTTACATATTCATAAACTTATATTACAAATAATTTTTTTGATTATTCCAGTTATCACTGTGATGTGGATTGCATACATGTTATCTGGTAAAATACAGTTTCAATTAAAAGGCAGGCACTAACAGACTGGAAGGGTGAAATAAACTTCTATATTTTCATATTCTTAGAAAATTCTACTGTCTGCCTTGCAGAGTGTGTCTTTAGGAGACAGTGTAACGCCTAAAAAAAAATGACAGAGACTAGAATAAGTAATTTTGTATCCCTTACTGGTTTCTGCAGCCTTTTCTCAGTGTAAGGCACCGGAATATCTACGCACAGTGCAGAGAGATGCGAAGCCAGGAAAAGCTCAGCACGGGGATGTGTTTGAATTGCTATTCCTGAGGAGCATTTTGTGAATTCTCTCGTGCAGAATCTGGAACCTCTTGTGTCTTACTGAGGACAAGCATCTGTGCATGTTCCTTGAAAGAGCAAAGTAAGTATTTTAAGAAACAGCCATTAAGACAGATGTGATGCTGATTTGCATTTTTGTTGCATTTCAGTGATTTCAGTCTTTTTCTGGGATGTGAAAAACCCAGATTCATAATCTTCTTAACCCTAAGGTTAAAGTTGTACCTTTCAGTTCTGTACACATAGGTAGTATCTTTCTACTGATTTTTTTCTGCTTAACAGATGCTTTAATCTGAGTTTGAAATAAACAAATAACAAAGAGGGGTTTTTTTTTTTTTTTCATCTCTCTTTCAGAAAGTCACATTATAAAATAGTTTTTAGAGGAGTTAGTTAATCATTTGAAAGCTTATATGTTAAACTTCATGAAGTACCAAGAGACTGGTAGTTCTGGCAGTGATGATACAGGAATTAGCATTATATATTGAAAAACAGTGTGTGAAGGATTTCATCTGGAGAAACTGAAATTTCATAACTCAGCAAGCTGTTGTATTTTTCTGGTGCAGGACATAATGGTTTGGTTACACAAGAACTAGATTCATGGCAGTAGAAGACCGACAGAACCTGTCATACCTACAGCTGTAGTTTTGATTGTTGCACAGAGTTCAAACATTATTTCAGCCACAGACAGATAGATTTGCAAAGATTTTTAATACTCTAATACTAATAGAGATGGCTGTTTCATTCACATGTAACTTAACAAAAAATCATAAAATATTTTTAATTAAAATCATTATTGTAAGTAAAATTATATAAGATTGAAATTCAAAAATTAACAGCGACTTGCTTTTACCTGCCATCACCTGGTGTTATTGAAGATAGTAAAAAGTAGTCTCAGTAACACCTCTATCTTTGAAAATCAGTTCTTTCATATGTTGCTGCAACTCAATCTTAGCAATGTTACTTTCAAGTAAGCAAAAGACATCAAATGTAAAATATAATTTCTATAGCTGTGTAATGTGTTATATACTTTGCTGACAAAAGTTGGTGATGTGTTGATAGTTTGTTGGGTTTTTTTTAAATTCACACTTGATTCTTTAGTAGAAGATATTTCATTATTCTGCATGTTGTTTTAATTTTCATGCTTTTCTTTATGCTTTATGCATTCCTTCCCTTAGAGATTTGCTCCATAGCTTATTTAGCTAGACAAGAAGGAGAAGTAAAATTAGGGATATTGCAGAAAAGTGTTTTCTGTCTTCAAAATACATGCTACCAGGCAGGATTAGTCAGCTGCATCTTAGATGGTGTCAACTATTTCAAATATGCCCTGAAGTGAAGACCTTTTGGCCCAAAGAACACTTAAACACTGTGTGTATGTAGTTTGTGGTTACTGTAACAAATAGGTTTAATATCTGTTTTTAGATATCTGTTTTACTATCTTTCTTTAAATATACTTGACTTCACATAAATATTAATTCTTGAACCCTATTAAAATGTTTAAAACTGGAAAGTTTTACTACCATGCACACATATAACTGCAGGTAAAGAACCTCTTATTTCTTTTTTAATTGGCTACAGATATCTCAGGGGAGGTACAGCAAGGTTCCCAAAACCAGCAAAGGCATCCTCCTGTTTTGGGTGTGTGCAGTTGAGAGAGACAGCAGCACTCATGATGCTGAAGCACGGCATCAGTTCACAGCTTTCTTTGGCTTGGGCTGGTGTGTTTGATCTCTCATGTCGAATTCAAAGCAGATTTTACCCAAATTTTGGTGTGAAAAAGCATTTTTTTGCCATAATTGGTTATTATAATACAGAAATTCAAAATATCTGAGCATGCTTTATGTCAGTTGCATTTAAATCCAAGTTTCTTTTCTAATCTTTAGACTGTTATTTGTAGACACTACACAATGATAAGGCAATACCTCATCATGGTGTTAAATATGAAGTTTGGGAATATCTAAGCTGCCAGAAAAATGTCAATATCCTGATGTGACATTCACAGAGCAGTGTCCTGTTTGAATTACTAAACAGCTGTCTGCACTGTCAATGACACAGTTTAAAATACTTGACAATAATAAGAACTTCAAACCCTTATAAAAAGAATTTAATTATGTAAATGTACCTTATTTAAGAAGTTTTGGCTTGCAGTAATGAAATTTTGCATATATATTTTAAAATCAGCTCTCAAAATATCAATGTCAGAAAGATAATTCTCTCTCTCTCTTCCCATCCCCTGCTCCTGTCTTCTGGAAAAGATATCTGATGTAAAAATGTAGTGTCACCCTTTATTGTCTGAGAAATCTTATGAAGTAATTTAAAGTGATAAAAGTATAGTCTGTGTATTTTTATGCTATTTTGACATTTTGTGTCAGTGTCTGGTATTTTAGAGCACATCTCTTGTGATTCTTACTGAGCATTATTTTTTGGTTTTTCTGCAAGTGACAGTATGATTTCACTTGTTAAGAATTAAATCTTTCCTGGCAATTCAACACCAGATGCATTGCCTTCTGTATGGTAGAAAAATTTTGTATCTGGTTTTCCCTATATTGATTTGTATGTAAGCCTTTTTCAATGCATTTTGCTTTATTTTCTATTATATCAGCTTATAGTGCAATCAAAAGATGTGCTTGTTATTTTTACCCTAAATGGAGGCAATCCAAACAACCCCTGTCAATAAATAACACCAGCTTGGCATGGACTGCAGAATATATTGGGAAAATACACACCATAGTTTTCATATTCAGCTTCCAAAAGTATTATGTAAATAGAAAAAAAAGAAAAGAACACTGTATCATTGGATTGCAAAAACAGAATAACTTTATCATCCTGCAGTTCTGAAATTAGCTGAATTTCATAAAAAGCTTTAACAAGCTTCACAAATCTGAGATCTAAGAACTCTGATCCTTCCACTTCAAACACGTGGGCCTGTAGCACTCGATAGAAAGGGAGAGCTTGTTAGCTGTTGGCAACAGAAGTCCTTTCTGAGCCGTGCCAGCCAGCAGGGGACACTTCATGCAGACGAGCATTGTGCATAAGCCCAGCGCCATTGAAGGCAACAGCAAAACACTGATGTGACATTGTGCTGATCAGCACAGGGCACAACACGATTGACAGAAGTGCTTGCTGAACAATTATCTGTTTTCATGGGTTTTTCTGGCTTGTAAAACGAGAGCATTTGAAAAGATAGAAATATCCTGTGTATAAACTACAGCAAAACATAACCCCATTTGACCAAATTAGAATATCACATTGCTTTTATGTGCATTTTCTTCATATTTAGACATTATCATCAAATACATTTTTATGTCTTAGGAAAAACAAGTTTTTCTGCCCAAACACAAATGTGATACAGGATTCCTTTATAGATAAGTGCAAACTTGTGGACAAGAATAATCAGTCAGGCTTCATAAAGCTTACAGCTGAAGGTCGTGGCTAAAACAAAAAGTGACATCAATGTTAATACACTCTTATTAAAAGACTAGGTTTAAAGTCAATGTACAACTACTTGTATCATCAAGTGAAAATGCAAAGCTTGCATTTATATTATCAGAGGTTGATATATTATCTGTTGAGTTCTGTCTGTATGCTAGATGAACATGTACTAGATATATTAAATTCATTTATGACAAGGAAAAATGTATACATTATCAGGGTTTTTTTAGTTCCTGAGGTTTTTTATAGCTTTTATATAATTGTGAATTTCTATTTCAAAATTATGCTTTAGCTGTATTGCTAATAAGCTATGCACTGTGATATCCATGGTGCTTTTTCAGTAGTGAAGCTGCTTTTGTTTTTGCATTGAACAGCCAATGATAGAATTGACTGCTGTTTTTACTACTGGTTTTTTAAATCAATTTAAGAAATGAATGAAAGAGTTCATAAGATAATTGGTCACCATTTCATTACCTAAAATGTGAATTTACATTTTTTGAGCATATATTGAAGCTTGAAAAATATGGACTATGTTGGACCCAGAATTGCTGGTAATGCTGTGTGGGTAACATAAAGGACAACTCTCCTTGGTTCTCCCTATTGAGTATTTCTAACAAAGTGTTTCTAACCAGATCAGCAGTTGGATTTTGTCAGAGGATTTCCCAATCTAACAGGTTTAAAGTGACTGGAGCAGGCTGGAGCCAGACTCCCAATGGATCCAACTGCCTGCTCCTGCAGGAGCCAGCACGGCCCCAGGGATGGGACCTGGACCAGGGGCTGGCAGTGCAACAGGCTGGGAGCTGGGCTTTGCCACAGGCACAAACAGGACAAAAGAACAGTGGGAAATCAGAGAAGGAGAAGAGCACAGTGTTATCCACCTTTCTGCTCAGTCAGGGTTATTTTAAGTTAGAAAGCTTCCTCTCAGTGAAGTTTTTTTTTTTTTTTTTTTTTTTTTGCTCACAAATTACAATCTGAGTATAAACGACATGGGGACTGAGTGTTCACAGGAGCTAGGATACTGAACAGAAGACACATAAACCATGCAAGCTGATGGAGAATGGTTCTTTTTGTGAATCCCAATTGGATGTGATACTAGGCTGAAGCTTTTTATTAGATGCATCTGTGAAATAACCATTCATGGCCTGAAAAGCTTTCTAGAATTCTCTTAGAGGTAGTGAAATCACTTTCTTTTTCTGCTTAAAATCCAATTTCACCTTTACTGGTAACAAATGCAGAAGTAACTGCCACGGATGTCTTAAGATTCATGACAGCAAAGAGGGACATAGACTCTGTCTTCCTGATTAGGGTGAAAGGAGGAGTTTTGGTTTTAATTTGTGTTTATGTGCTTTGCCTTCAAGAGAATCGGAGTAGAAGTGTTGAGAGCAAGAACCAAAAATCTCTCTGGGGATTGGACTCATGGCAAGGCTAAAGTCTTACAACTTGTCCTCCTCACCCTATCTCTGCAGTTTCACATCTTGTAAAATAATGTTAATGGAAAACACAGCCAAATGATTCCACAGTTTTATATAATAAATGAGTATGGAAAGGAGCCCCAGAATTTTTGTTCAAGCATGTGCTCAGACCAGGTCTTATTGAATCTTATTCTCACATCTAGATCCACTTAATTCTTGAACAGTTTAAGGGTACTCCAAAGCT